ACGTCATGGCTTGGTAGATGGACTCAACGCCGTAGCGCATGGCAAACTCATCCACAATCTCCTGGGCTGTCTCATCGTAGTAAACCTTCCAGGCGTCGTCACCCTTGGCATCCGGGATCTTCACGACCCCGTTGTTCTGCACGTCCGTCACGAAGTGGAACAAGTTCTGCCACGGGGGTGCGGGTGATGAGGTGTTGTCATGGAGAGTGTAAGGTGGCAAGAGGGGGTCAGAGCTCTCGGGTGTGGGGGAACTTACATCGTTCATCTATCATTTTACTAATTCATTTATTCATTAGTTCATCTACATTTGCATTCATCCACTTACTCAGTCACCCATCCATTCAACTGCCCCAAAATTCACCTCATCTATCCTTCCAATAATTCAACCACACATCCATCTATCCATTCATCCATCTACCTATCTACTCACCCATCTGTCTGCCTGTTCATCCATCATCCATCTACCCACCCACCGACCCACCCATCCATCCATCCATCTGCCCACCCACCCGTCCATCCGTCCATCCATCTATCCATCCATCCTTCTGTCCATCCATCCACCCATCTACCCACCCCTCTATCTCTCTCCCTGTCCATCCATCATCCACCCATCCACCCATCCAACTACCCAAAAATTCACCCACCTGCTCATTCTTCCAATAACTCAACCATATATCCATTCATCCCAACCATCTACCCACAACTTAATCTGTCCATCCAACAGTCCATCTTTCCACCCATTCAGCCATCCATCCCCCCACCTATCTATTCATACATCAATTTATCCATTCATGCATTATCTGTCCATCTGTCTACCTGTTCATCCATCCATCCGTCTACCCCAAGATTTACCCATCCACTCATCTGTCCCTTCAATAGTTCAACTACACATCTATCTGTTCACTCATCTGTCCATCACCTACCCTTCCATTCATCTATCTTGCATCCATCCATCATCCATCTATTCCTGCATCTACTCATCAACTCATTCATCTATCCACCCACAGACTCATCCATCCATCCATTTATTCTTTTACCTACTTGTCATTCATTCATGAATCCATTAAATCATTCCATAATTCAACCTACTGAGTCTTGGGGGATTGAGTTTTCCCCCAGGAGCCCCTAGGCAGCTGGAAGAGACAGATGCAGACACAAATGGCCTGCCCCTGAGGGCTCAGGACTGGAACA